CTAGCTGAATCTCGTGGACAAAGAGGTTTTTGTGTCATGGTTGTGTAAATCGTGAAGGAAGCACTCCACCGGCTTAAGCCTGAATAGGCGGAGGCCTCTCATTGGCTACGTGTTTGCAATTTCATCACCACGTTAAAAGCAATCGAAAAGTGATGAAAAGAGCGATGTTATTTATATCTGCACGGTGAGCATGACCGTTCAGTCTGCATGTTGTGGTATAAGCTGATGCTGACTGGACTGCCTGTCGTGCGTGACATGTACCTGCCGCGCGTGACGCATACCTGTCGTGCGCGACACATGTCATCCTACGGGACACGTGTCATCGTGCGTGACACGCGACTCCAGGCGCACATTCCAACATTTTCAGCCAGATGCAGGCACCGACCATGTGACCTGTATCCAGCAACGATTTGGTGCTGGTAACCAAGCGGGCGCTAGTAAACATTCGTTAGCACGCAAGCACCCATTATTGGACAGTTTCAGAAACCATCTGTTCAACCCATGTTATGTTTCGAAAGCTGCAAGCCAAATGTTACAGCGCTTATTGGCCACAGTTCCTCTTGATCTAACCGCACTGAAATGATAGGAGATCGGAAGCAGTAAACGCGCGTGCATAAATATTGCAAAAGCTTTATGGAGCATCAGTGCACATAAAGCGGAGCCATGGGAGAGATGCCGAACGGCGTGGCGAAGAGGTGGTGACGTCTTGGAGGTAATAACGAGCGAAAGTGGCAGCGGGTAGAAATGTGCGGACGCAGGACGGTTATGGGCATGGAAGTCTTACTGTAAAGTCTTTGTCTGGTGCACCGATTTGCCATATGATAGTAGAGATTGTCCCACATTTGAATATATTGAAGGAAGCATCACATAAGATGAAATAAGCTTACTTATATCTATTGGTACACTCCAGAGTGGAAAAAATTGCTGTAGACAACACAGCTTCTCTAGTAGATGTGCTCCTCAATGTGTCGTTGTTGGATTTGGTCATCGTGCCTTGCACAACATTAATTGAGAGCCAATTGACGGCTGTCATGTCTGGAGATTGTGGTCACGGCCAGATGTTAACGACTGGAAGTTATATCATAAATGGCCCCGAACGCCGCATAGCAGATTAGATGGCATTGTTACAATTACGTTGTTATGACGTCATGGATTGCTGGGTGAACTTGAAAAAGTCTGCATGAAATAGTCTGTACATCCTCGCAAGCGTGTAGCACAGTAACAAGAGTGGTGTAGGTCTTAAGAAAGGCAGGATGTGAGTTACACCGAATGATCTTCAAGATGGCTTCATCAGTTCAAAATCCCCTCACAAATGTAGAACCCTTCCTTTAAGCAATGTTTACCACCTGCCCCAGTTTCTGTTTTAAAGGTAGCTATTCCAGGTACCACATTTATCTTGCCGTCTGTTCATGTTTGCATGAAGTGATGGGATACTCTGTTCTGCAAGCCCATTATCCCCGAAGGAGCATTGCCATAGGAAATCGATGGCCAGGACGTTGCTTAGGTGCTTTTCCACCACAGGAGGCACGGTCCCAGCGGTGTTCTTAAGCAATAGCTGGGGAGACGAGCAGTTTCAGAACTTTCTGTCGGAACCTTACACGTTTAGCGACAGCTCCCAGCATAATCCAATCTTTCTGCTGTTGCACCGCACCGTTTCCGCTCTCAACGAAATCCAAATCCTTTGAAGGAGAAAGATGTGGAGCTGTCCTTCATTGTAGTCTGCGGTCAAGAGCATCCACGCCTTTTCTGTAGCTAAAACCCACTCCAAAGGTATCGCCCTAGCATTGAGCTCAAAATGTACATCTGTTGTAGTTAATACCACTTCACTGATAGTATTTGGAAAGGATTATTGTTATTTATGCGTACCATGCGCTATTGAAATGCATGCTTTCATTATGCTTGCACGCTTTCACCGAGCATGCTGTTTTCTCTCTCTCTCTCTCTCTCTCTCTCTCTCTCTCTTCGCAGCACGACTCACCCAGCACTTGGTAAAGTTCATGAATGCAAATGAGTTTATTCGCAATATCCACGATACCAACGGGGAGGCCCTTTCGGAAGCCGCTAGTGTCAATCGGTGAAACGGTTCTTTGCGATAACTACGTCTTTCTGAGACTGATTGCTTTCGCACCTGCTGACGGTATATTTGGCATTAACGTAGATGCGTCCATGCATGTCGATTTTTCCCATCAGCATTTCATACACCGTAAAGAGGGCCAATGAGATCGGCTAACCCATACACAGCACACCGAATCATACCGTCCCATCACCATTACCGATCTCTCTCAGGCTAAAACTCTTTTTCTCTCTCTTCTAGGTGTACACAATGCACCAGTTCGCTTCAAAGGTTACATAGAAGTAGAGCATGTGCTTTTTTCCGGAAATTGCCTCGAATGGTTCGAGTGGCTGGTATGGGGGGGTCTTCTGATCAGAAAACTCTCTGTGTAGATGGTTTGAAGTATATCTGTGAAAGTAAGTCACGCGTGCCCGAGCACGACATCCAACTTGTGCCGTTGAGAGCCACGGGATTATTTTGCTTCCGTCATTTTGGGCGCACAGGATGGCGTTAGCGCCATACAATGCTATGGCATTGTAGGTATTGTCCCGCCCTGGGCCAGGACAATACCTACCGTTAGCTGCCACCTGACTTGTCTGTCAGTCGGGCGAGAAGACTGGCTGGCTCTTAAACGTTTACCCAACGCCGCTGAATGGCGAGCATCTTTTCCCTTTCCACGCGCATGCTTCCCTTTGTCCCGAAAGCGGTCGCAATAACGGTGGTAGTAATGGTAAAAACAAAGTTGTTTCTCTAATGGGAGCGATGATGAAAGTGAGCAGGAATAGCTATCTGGGGATTCTGTTGGATGAAGAATTACGCATCGGCTGTTACTACGCATTCATGATGTACATTGGCGATGTTCTCTGCTATTCACGCCCACACCCGCATCGTACCATCGGAAAATGCATTTTGCACCTAGCGTTACCCGAGATGGTCTTGCAATACCAGTTCTAGCACTTCGCACTCAAACTAAACGTGCATTATCTTGTATTGTATCAGGTTGCTATGAGTTCCAAATACCCACTGAAATATCGTGGTTCTGTGATCCTAAGTGACCTGTCTTACTACAACATGACCTGACGTGGTTCGGTTGGACAGAGGTTAGGTAGAGGCAGAAGGTGCGCTTGCGATGAATTCCAAACACCCACTGAAAGATCGTGGCTCTGTGATCCTAAGTGATCTGTCTTACTATCATCGCTCCACGTTAAATGCAGCGCCATCGTCTGATGCAACCCATCTTCTCCTTGACTTGTGCGCGGCTCCCCCCCCCCCCTCCCCCCCCCTCCGGATGCTGCTGCAGGAGCTGGCCGACCCGTCTCCCGCTGTCAGCGCAGCTGGCGCACCCATGCATGAAGGCGATATTCGTAGGCAGGTTCAGCCACGCGCCAATCTGTCCAGTTTCTTTTGACATCCAGCAGCATTTAGAGCACATCCTCCACACCAAGAAAATCGTCCCACCCGACCAATTTGTTCCATGATTCTGTTTCCAACCTACACGGCCCTGGAACGACCCAGGTCATACTGACGCAATGAGCGACTCGGACTCAACTGGTCATCCTTCCTTACAACGCCGACATATCAGTGCCCGACGGGGCAGCGGCAATCGCTGGCCGAACAGCTCCTGTGATTGTGGCAAATGGCCGCCGGCGATCTAACGCTTAGGCTATTTTACGACTTTCGTGTGGATACGGATCCAGCCGGAAACGATTGGATCCAACCGTTTCACGTATCGTCTCCTTGTTTCATGTCTGCTGTTGTTTCGCTTGACACTTGCAACGTTAGCAATAGCAATAGCAACACCGCACCCGAGACTCGGAAGTAGAGGAAAAACCGTTGATATCGGACATGCTACGAACCATTCCATTTGCATTTATGAACTTACCATGGGATGGATGTGTCGTTTGGAAAGAAGAGCATTCCAATGCGCAAGTGGATTGTCGGCGCTGTCTTACTTTACTTGTACATTAGTGCATTACGACTGCGTTCACACACTGACGTTGACCGGGTGCTATGATTTGGCTCTCGGAAGTATCGGACAGCTGTGGCCTGTAGCGGCTGCGACTGCGGCTCACCCGGCATGAGACGTCTGAAATGAAACGTACGAACAGATGTCCGCTGAAATGAAACGTACGAACAGAAACGTACGGAAATGAAACGTACTAACAGAAACGTACGGAAATGAAACGTGCGAACAGATGTCCGCTACTAAAGATTTTGCGAATGCTTCGAGGATAAGGTGATTTAAAAAGGAAGCGTGTCAACATCCATTCTGACACCATACACAAACGTGTCATGTCCAACCAACAAAACAATAGTGCATAAGAAGTAGTATGATCGTTTCTCGAAAAAAACAGCGATCAAACACGCGAGAGGCATAAATCAGTTAGTTCGCTAGTTCAACGTTTGTCCGTGGCACTGCGACACAAAGTCATCCAACCGAAGATGAAAGAACTTTCAGATGCTCAATGCTTTGAATTTATGAATCTATCCGATTTTGTGGGATCTCACGCGTTTCTTTTCCTGTTACCTGCCAGCGCATTGTGTGTTTTGTAACTTCTGTGTTATTGCATACCTTGCATTTTGCATTATCTTGATGTCGTTCACGTCCATTGCTATGTTTCTGTGCTTGCCCTGAGCACAGCAATTTGGAGTTTAGCTACCTTTTGCTCATCATAACCTGTCACCTGTAACACATTTGAGTTCCAAACAAATCGAATTGTGTTCACACCCGTGGCAATTATGTTCCTCTCGGCGCATTGCTAGGCTAGCAACATTGCCTTTTGTACAGTAGGCACGCGTTGCTGCAGAGGCTGCTCAATGACTTTCTGCTACACCACACGAAGATGCCCTACCCTGCCCTACACTACACTGCTGCTGCATGCTAGTACGTTATCAATACTCTCTGCCGGTCCGAGGTGGTGGACAGTAACCTAGCGAACCCTTCCAGGAAAGCCATCAAAGCGACGGCGATTCTGTTTCCACTTCTGGGCATCACCAACCTCTTCTTCTTCATCCGGCCTTCGGAAAAGGACTCGCGCTACCAGGTGTACCTCATCACCAACTCGGTGCTCCACTCCCTGCAGGTTAGTCCAGTAGTTTTGAGGTGCTTTCCAGCTGCGAAGTGTCCAAATGCTGCAGTCGTGATGGGCGGGAATGATGCTACCAGCAGAAGCTCGCTTTCTCGCCAATAAGCGCCGACTGATGCCCACTCGCAGCTCCGGCCTGCAGTGGTGCTGGTGAGCCCATCACATTTGTCACCGTGGACTGGGACCGATGTCTGCAGCTCGTGCCTCGTCATTAGGCGAGGGATTTATCATGCAGACCGCTTGAATGGGGGAGCGTAAATCACAGCACTTCGCTGTCCAATCTCGTGTCATCCGCAGCCATAAATCTGGCGTGATCTTGTCAAGTCGCCACGCCACGCCCTGCCGCGGCACGGGGCGTATTTTAACTCCTGGCAATTTCCGGGAATTACGCCTCGGCCCCGCCCGGCCTCGATAGCAACCGCAGCTTAACACTCGTGAGAACACCCCATCTGTGTGTAGACACCTCTTAAGTACCCGATTGTAATTCCGTTTCAAAAGGGAGACTCACAAGAGGCGAACTCGGGTCGTAGTGTTCAGATCCAGGCTTGCGTTGCTGACTTGAATGACCAACAAAACCTTGGGGAATTTGTCATCTCGCTGGCTTTACGGTGGCCATGTGGATTGCTTTCAATCAACAATATAGCTGGCAGTCTGTTAGATCTGGATGTAGCGCATCGATCAAACCCCTAAACCTTTAACAGCTTTGGTCACTCTGTGTGGAAACAACGAGGACAAAATAGTGTGCGGCTAATAGGACGTGGTGTCATGGCCTGTGAGTTATGGACCGAACTTTGAGGGGCTGCAGCGCATAAATAGTCGCACAGCCTTTAGCAAATCGAAAAACGGCAGCTGCAAATCATGCTTGACACCAGTGAAGCTGACAGCGTGTCACATGCCACGCACTACATTACTTACGTCAAACAAGCCCAAAGGTTGATTTTTGGCCTATCTCATATCCGCTTATGGCCACGTGAACTCACGGAAGGGGGGGGGGGGGGTTACGCGGGGATGGGGAGGGCGCTGTTTCAGCTGATTAGTTACCATGACAGTTATTCTCGAGCTCAATTTTTGTGTTGTTATGTGGCGCCCCTTGCGGTCAAGGCTAATTTTCCCTGGTTTGGAGAGGCGAACGCTAGGCTTTTTCTGGCGTTGGGGGGGGGGGGGGGGGGGGCCGCCCCTCCCCCATCCCCGGCCACCGTATTCGTGTTATTGTTCGATATTTAGCATTTCCAAGAGCACCCTACACATTGATATATTTATGTGCACATTGCACACTGCATTGTTTCTTGCAATCAAAGGACATTTTCCTTGGAGGATGGTAACAGTGAGACCAGTTTTGGGAACGTGTTGGCAATTGTGATGGCGTATTCTATTGGCCTTTCAAAAAAATTCTCGAGATAGATTTTGTGGACGATATGAGCGTCTTTTCGAGAACTACAAATGTAAAAGAACGGACAAATTTTGTCATGTTTTGTTTTTTTGAACTCGCAGCAGCGCTATGATCTTAGGTGTTTTTATGTTGTAAATTAGGTGCCGCTTAACGCGCTGCCGGGCTTGGAGGCGCCAGTGCCCTCTCAAAAGGCTAAAGTTCAAGTAGAAATTCGCGTGGTTATTGTAGCTTAGTTGCACTGTACCGAGACCTCCCGACAAAATGAGCGATATCCGATGATATTAACAGATCAAAGTTCTTATGCTGAGTTATCAACTTTTATTATACCAAAGGGTCTGTATAATTGCGGGTATACTGAATGTCGATTAATCAGTGTAAGCACTCCCAACTCACAACACCGAAACATTGGGAGCTGGAAGCCTTTCTTGCAGATATCAAGATGTCAGATGAATCGGTAGAATGAGCATCTATTTATGGAATGCGACAATATTCTTATCGTCACGCCCGATCTCTTAGATTAAGCTGTCTTGCCATGAACGATGGATGCATTACACCTTAGTCACGAACACGCATAGCGCAGGTTCAAGTTTGCTACAACACGCAGCCAGCCGTTTTATGGTAATAGTCGGCAGTAACCGAGCGTTTCGTGCTCTGCGTGTTGGGGGCCTTTCAATTTCACGCTCCCCTCGTGACTCCATCCTTTGTTCCACAAACACATATAGAGTTCCGCGCCTTTAGTCCGTCCCTGGTCCCGTCCCCACCTCTGGAGCCGCCCTTCGATCCATCCCCGCACCACCGAAGACACGGATGCCGCTGAGTGTCAGGTAATAGTGTTCTCAGAAGTCAGGCCGATTTTAGCGCTGAGTCGGTCTCAAAGGAGAGGCGTTCAGGTCCTAGCATTCAACGAGGTCTAGTCATTAACTATGACGCCTGCGACTCTCATGAACATTTTGGCGCATGTACTTTCACGATGCTTGTGAAGTTGCCCTAAACACGCGTAGTCACGGACTTGCAAAATAAGCCTGCAACAGCTAAAGCAACAATTGCGGTATGACGTTGTGCTTACGTGTCACTCGCGTGTTACTTTCTTTTAGAAGTCGCACGTTGAGTAGAATCTTAACATCGAAAGGCCATGCCTTTGTGCACGAGTTCTTTGCCGTCATGCATGGGCTGTTGAGTTTCAATGCATCCTAACTCTAATGGCCACTCCGGCCTCCTGTCTTTTCCGTCAACCAGCGTTCGTGGCGCGAAGTTCGCTCTGGCAGACTGCTCTTTGCCGCGTTATGCCAGCGGCAGCTGAATGCCGGTCTCTGCTGTAAACAAAGCGAACAAGGCGGAGAAACTTTCACCAATTAGGCCGAATTAGGTGTTATTACGAGTGCATCACAACTTTTCCTCAACAACTTGAGGTTGAGCGCGCCAGTGATGTACTTGACCGCAGCTCACAGGGAATGGATTGGGACGGAAGACGGTAATAAATGAATCTAGACAACTCAAATGACTGCGGCCACATCAAACAGAGTGACTGTAATAATGATGCAATTAGGTTTCAGCATGTTTACCTGGGATTAATGTAAAACTGCGAAAATGGCTACAAACCCCTATTACGATGTTGCTTTTAAGCACAAGAAAACTCTTAACGACGTGAGTGGGTGGAAGAAGACGTACTAATAAGCGAGATCCCTCTAATCCTCATGAAAGCTCTTTGATTCGCTTCAGATTCCTAAACGTACGTTTCATCGTTGGGTTAACTGTTTGCGCTGTCTTTCAGGGAATATTCGTCTCGATCCTGTATTGTTTCCTGAATTCGGAGGTGCGCATAGCCATCAAGAAAAAGTACTACCGGGTAATGGCGATGCGGAGCAGCAACCGGTGGTCTCCCAAGAACTCGTGTCGCACGTCAACCATGTTCGTGTCACAGGCCGACCGGCTGTGTTGCCGACAGCAGAAGTGGACCACCAGCTGCAGGGAGACGAGCCCGGCAGCTGCCAACGCTGCCAGCAGCTGGCCGGGCTGCCAGCCGCAGGGCGAGACCGAGATCTGAGACCGCCACCCTCCGGTTGAACCGAGATCTGAGACCGCCGCCCATTGGGTTGAACTGAGATCTGAGCTCTCCGCCGTCTTTGTTGGGCTCAGATTTGACATCGCCGCTCACTGCGATGCAGCGAGGCCTGTGGCCGCCGCTCGCTGTAGTGAACTGAGGTCTGAGATTGCTGCTGCTTCTGATGGCTCAATATCAGAGACCACCGCTCTGCGACGAACGAATGCCGGGTGACGCGTCTGCCTCGATGGAAAAAGGCAGAATCACCAATACGTCATTTTCTCTGTGATGTGGCGGAGGCACGGACGGTGGATATCCCGGGTTGCACACCGTGAGGTGGAATGGTCTTGAATGACAGTGAAGCAACGGCTCGATCTTCGGGGGAGAAATAGAGCCTGAATACTCTGGGGAATCGCTATGTTTCTCCCTCTAACTCGGGGCTTAACTCAACCCTAGATGGGCAACGTGATCCCATTGCTTCGCTTCCCGTCCCCATTAACCTGACTGACGAATTGTGCGCTGAGAGAAGATCATGAGCCCTGAATGTTCTCCGTGTCGTGCTGCGCTGAACGTTATCAGTTATCACAGTTGTCACAGTATGCACAGTGCGCCTCGCCAGACGCGGTGTCGGTACGCAGCGCGCCTCGCGTGCGCCTGTGAGCGACAGGAACGGTCACGTGTGGTTACCCGCCGGGGAAATGTGGACGCTGATGACGATAACGCAAGCGACTCAAGCCAGGAACCCTGCGGTGGTGCCCGTTAATCGAATATGCTTCATGGCAGCGACCGCCTCGCGTCCCCCGTTGACGTTTGGTGTTGTCTTTGTTGGATATGATGTGCAGACTTGTGAGGCAGCCTCGGCCGTCGATGTCTTTTTCTCTTGTGAGGGGTGGGCGAGCGGGGCTGCTTCTAGTCGTGTCGTCCGCTGGCAAGTGGGACAGATATGGCTGGGGTGCGCGGTAGGGCGGTGTCCGCCTGCAGTTACGTCGAATATTGGACTCTCTGGCCTTGCGCAATAGGTACTTATACATAAATCCTTTTTCCTTCCCCACCTTTCCAGCTCTGTCGTAGTTTTTACTGTCAGTCTTGTTTTAATATAATACCGCGCAACCTCAGTATTTGCAGTCCATTTAGCGACAAAAGACTTTTGCCCGCTTGGCTTGCGGTAACTCGACTTGAGAACCGAAACATAAATGCAAATTCAGCTATGGCAGTGCTCTATGGCGAAGCCAATCATATTAAGTGGCGAGGGGTGGCCACCACTATGCCGATATTGGACTTCAATCATGTAGATATGCCCCACTTTGTATTCAGCCCTCCACTGACCGGCAAGAGAAAGCCTTTGTTGTTTGCTCTGGTACCGTAATCAAACGTAAGCCCAGCTTAGTGAATGACGTTGCGTCGTTTTGGATTCGAGGCCTGCCAAGTAGGAGCCCCTATTCACCTGTCTGTCCGGCCTGACCACCATTTTGTCACGTGGCCACGTCTTGCCGACTGTCGCTGGCCTATTCTCTTATTGTTGGTGCTGCGAGCGTTTCGCGACGAGGCAGAGGACTGTCGCATCTCTTGCTATGTATATGACCGCCTCTGATCACTGCACGCGGACGCAGTTGTCGCTGCGCGAGCGACGACAGGCTCTCCTCCGGCGTTGGTTGTTAGTGAAGGTTAACTATCTCTTCTCCACATACTGCCACGTGCCATTGTTTTGGTATAGAACATTGGCTGCTATTTGCCGTCATCATGCGTCCTAAATACTTCGTTTATGATGGAAGGACACAAGGATATAAAGGGAACATGCCGCAATATCAATATTATGAATGTTAACTTCCGTACACCGCGCGACCAAGTCATTGTGAAATTATCCGGTTTATATAGGTGGTCATGGAGTAGTTACTTATGTCGTATAGAACATGAGGCCTGACGGATCATTGGTAATCATGCTGTGCCATTGAACAGCCTCAATAGCGGGCAGGCCACGTACGTGTAGCGTACTGTGCACACAATGACGAATTCGCTTAGTGTCTTTCTAAAACCCATAGCCAAAGTGGGCAAAGGATTGCGAACTGAACTGGCGGAGCATGTTATAGTAAGGGCATCTATTACCGATTTGCGCTCTGCAGTCAACTAAACTTGTTCAGCACGAAAATGCATCACACCACGGCTCAAGGTCTGAGAGGCTTTCGGGTGCCCAATTGCACCAGGTCTGTTGAATGTTTGCTTACATGCCTACCCCGGGGGTCCTCTCGGATGATCATAATTAGATCATGTGCTCGCTTCCGCTCCGCTCCGCTCTCACTGCCACACTTCATTGGGCAGTTTGTCAGCTCACTGCAGCTAATCGGAGCGTTCAGTTCTGTTTGCTGCACTCAAACACACAGCCAATTACCAAGGCACGTATCCAAATGTTCTCTAAAACCCGTTAGTGTACCTCCGGACGGAGCCGGCAGCTGTCTGCTGACGGTCTGTCCCGGCCCGGCCGTGCGGCGCCCAGGCGGCAGCCGCGGGCTCCTGCGCGAGCGACGGCCTGTCCCGGCCCGGCCGTATGACGGCCGCCGCGGGCTCTTGCGCGAGCGACGGCCTGTGCCGGCCCGGCTGTGCCGCGGTCCGGCGGCAGCCGCGGGATCCTGCGCGGCGACGGCCTGTCCCGGCCCGGCCGTAAGGCGGCCGCCGCGGGATCCTGCGCGAGCGACGGCCCGTCCCGGTCCGGCCGCCCGGCGGTCGGCGGCAGCCGCGGGATCCTGCGCGGACGACGGCCTGTCCCGGCCCCGCCCGGTCCCCGGCAGCCGCGGGCTCCTGCGCGAGCGGCGGCCTGTCCCCCCGGGCGCCCGGCGGTCCGGCGGCAGCCGCGGGCTCCGGCGCGGCCGAGCCGGGACGGCGCTTCGCGCGCGGGGCCAGGCGGGGCTCCGCACATGGGGAGTGTGCCCGAGCCCCGCCCCGCCGCCTCTGCCGTCCGCGGCAACGGCGCGGCGGCCGTGGCGCTGTGTCGGGCCGCCGATGTGTCGCCAGCGACCCACCTGCGAGTGGGCCAACATGTGCTAGCCGTAGGTGTATGCTGTGTGTAAAATAAACGTATAACGGCCGCTGACGCCTTCCATCGCGCGCTGAAGTTAAAACGAAATCGAAGTGGTCCGGACGGAGGTGTCGTTTGCCAGGGAGCCGCGCGTCGCTCAGCTGTCATTCGCCTGCCACTTGGTGTCTGAAAGGCTACACAGCGCAGAAATCTTGTGCACTCAAAGCGCGTAGTAACCCGCATTAAGCCCGTGTGCAGTTCATGGCTTTCTGAAAAACACATATGACACCCGAGCTGCTACGCTGCTGGGCATGGACGTCCTTGCCATTTCTTGGCGTATGGTGTCGCGTTACAACTGCTGGCGACAATTTTGTGCGCAGAAGTTCGGTCGGCGACAAAAAATCACCACCCCTGACTGCGTCTTTCATTGCTTGAGACAACTCTTACGTTTAAAAATAATTCTAGTATCGATCCTGTCCTCAGAAAATGGGTAGGCGACCAATACCTCCCGGATGGTGTCGCGGCAAGAGTCCCAAGAGCCGTGTTAAGGTCATTCACTCTGGAAACGACCTCATCCTAGGACATTACCCGGGCTAGCCCTTATTGCATGTCCCTCTGGGTCGCACCAGATCTACCGGCTGTTTCCAGAATGAATGGCTCGCTAGGTTGATCTTAATGTGTAGACATGGTACGTTTGTTTCATAGGAAACCGCATATTCTTGCGTGGAATATGGAATATTTTATAATATATCTGTTTCATGCGTGCGAGAAAAGCGAGAATGCGAGAAAAGAAAGAGATGAAGATATAAATATGTTGATATTTCGGCAGGATGCCTTGAACGAAACGAATAACAGAAGTTACTTCGCTCCTGCTATTCGTTTCGATAAAGACATGTTGCCGAAATATCAACACATTATATCTCCGTTCCCCTGGTTTTTCTCCGAGGATTAAAGCCCCATTTCTTCTGTTTTATCTATGCAAATCTATTCTTATCACGGGGCACTATGACCGAAGCAGATGCCGCACCTTCATAACGCAAGGTGGTCATGAGGTGCCGTGCTTGGACACCGGTTATACAGAAAAGGCTTCGTGAAGAAATGGTCGTGGCCAGTAAAATAACGACAGCAACATATCAAGGGCTCGGCAGGCAATTCCCCATCACCACTTCACTTATGAAGTTATCACTCTACTTCAGTTATGGAATCATCACTCCACTTAAATTCCGGAATCTAATTAAGCCAAACGATATGAGATGT